GACTGTTGTCTTTAAGCACCCACTAGTGCTTTAAGACTGTAACCCTGTAATATAGGAATGCAGTACAGGAGACCGAGGGCATTCCCTATCTGGGTGCCTCGTCGCACTTGCACACCCAGGTAGGTAGGTAAACGAAAAGAAATTAACACATTAACGACAAGCGCGCATTGGGGGGTGGGGGTGGGGGGCAGTTCTAGTGGCATAACTGAACTACAGGAAATTTGCTCCACCACGAAACAATGGTGCCCAGGCCAGGCAGGCCGAGCCCTCCAGCGCGCCCCGCCGGCCCGGCAGTGCAGTCGGTGCCCCCCGCCCCCGCCCTTGTGCACAGCGGCAACGGGGCAGCCGGTGTCCGTCTGTCGCCCGAGCCGGAGCGCGGAGTAGTCCCGCAGCAGAGGTCCGTTTCTTTTGCAAGACGTAGTACAAGCAATGATACATAGTTAAGTAAAGTATTATTATTTTCAGTTCTGTATAATGTATCATCTGCTAAAAATAGACCGGCGTAGTGGCGTAGGGCACGCAGCACGCAGCCGCGCTCGCCGCGCCCGTCGCGTCCGTCGCGCCCGCCGCACCCGCTGCGGCCACCGCGCCCGTTGCGCCCGCCGTAGAGAGACTTCTAGCCCGCCGCCCCGCCGCACTGCGACGCACGACGCACCGTGCCGCGCCCCGCCACGCACCCCGCGCCCGCCACGCCCTACCTGTGTTTTATTCATTTACGAAAAGTCTACCGGGGGCGGCGCGCCCCGGCGCATAGACTGGGGTCTAGCGGCGTGGCGGAGCGTGGATCGCTGCGGTCTCCCGCACCGGATCCACGCTACGCCACGCCGGCGCCCCCGGTAGACTTTTCGTAACTGAATATAACACTGCACCGCCACGCCCGCCCCGCCACGATTGTCACGCCACGCTTGTCGCGTTCAAAGCCGCGTTAAATACCACGTCAGGCCGCCCCGCCCAGCTAGTGGCCCTCCTGTGAGAGGTGCGCAGAGCTGTCGAGCGGCAGCGGCAGCCAATCAGAGCGGCTGAGAGTTCCCTGGGCGCCGCGAGCCCCGAAATCGCCATGCGCGAGGCTAGTAGCAGACGAGCCACCAGAACCTCTTGCTCTCCACCTCGAGTTTTGAGATATCAATTTCTCTCGCAATTCTCTTCGCATCGCCGCGGGACATGACTTATTTTAAATGTTAGGCTTGCAGGAGCTCATAAACTATAAAAGTCGCCCGTTCTCAGCCAAAATCTGTTGAAGACAACGATTAATATGGGCGAAGTAGGCGCGCAATTTCTCCTAGTTCTAGGCTCGCACAGGGTGTCTCCGGCCCCATGGAACTCTCACGGCCAGCTCTGCGCACCTCTCACAGGAGGGCCACTAGCCCCAGCCGCCCGCCCGCCGCGTCCCGCCCTGCCACGATTGTCACGCCACGCTTGTCGCGCTCAGTTCCGCACGAAACGCCGCGTTCAAAGCCGCGTTCAATAACACGTCAAGCCGCCCCCCGCCACGCTCGCTGCGTTCAATGTCAGGCCAAGCCGCTCCCGGCCGCCCCTGGTGGCGCCCGCGCCCCGCCCCACCACGCCCCGGAACGCCCTGCCGTGCCCAGAGTTCAGAGTCCTGGGTTTTCCAGTAGATCCCCTGGTGCTTGATTCCAGGGCATCCACTGGCGTTCCACCTCTCCCAGGATTCCCAGGACTCGTCTTTACCATGCACTGGGGGATGTGTTTAACTTCATTTGTAGTTTAAATGCGTTCATCATTCGAGTAGTTAGGCACAACCCCTTAACTCTGAAGACGGGGGTGGGAAGGGGGGGGGGCCTGCATCCCCGGCCCGTGTACTAATATGGACGCAGACGGGACATGCAGTAGTAGCGTTACCCACTTACTAGGTCAGTAGTAGCGGGGTGCGGCGGGGCACGGCGGGGCGTTGTGAGGCGCAGCGGTGCGTGGCGGTGCTAGCAACGTATGATAACTGCGTGATGATAACTGCGTATCATCTGCTAAAAACGTTGTGTGGTGGGGTTCGGTGGGGAGCGGCGTGGTGCGGCGGGGCGCAGCGGGGCG